AGGATTACTGATGAGAATAACTATTGAGGCCTGGTCTTTGGTAAATTTTGACGAGATACTGAATGGTGGTCTTGGATTTGACCTTGATCCTAACCTTCAAGGTCAACTTCATCTTTTTAATGTGAATCCTTATCATTGATGTTGGCAATCGAAGGTCAAGGTCAAAGGTCACCGTAGAATTCCTTGCTGAAAGTTACTGAAGACCAGACTTTGTTTTCCAAATATATCTTTCCCGAGAAGATACAGAGCCGTTCCGGGACTTTTGTTTCGCGTTGTATATATGTATATGATCACATTTATCATTTGCGAATTTGCTGCGTAGGCTGTTTTCCGTTTGGTTTTTTAGTTTCCACGTGTGCTGGCGAGAAAGTACTGTAATCGCGAAAAATATCGAGTGTTATGTGCCCTCAAAATTGAGGGAGTGGAGAATTCCTAAAACTGTTCACAAAAAATTATACTATACTCGTATAGGTATGTAAATTTCCGCGGTACCTTCTATGGCGCACGCTATGTTGCTCAGTACTTATTAGGGTTTGCATCCGTCAGAAGTTATTTTAACTCGGTTGAGGATTTCGAAAACATATAAATGATAACATTGCGACCGCTCATTCACCATAGTTTATAAGTACGTCCCACAAATCGGATTGTAATCGTTTCGCACGTCACCTATATGAAACACGAAACTGCAAATATCCTCGATAAAAGTTACACTCGGCGTTCGCAAACGTCGAGTTTTTAATTTGACGTGCTCCATCCAACATCCAGTTGTGTATTGCATTCTAAAATACCCTCCGGAGTATTTAATATTCTTCCACGCAGCGGATATTCGCAGCCGCTTTAAAAATGCAAAAAGATATACAACTGCTGCTGCTGCTGCTGCAACGGGACTCTCATTTAACGTAACATTTTTCCTTTCCATGCTCCACAAAATTAAATTCCGTTATTAGCTTCATGAAACACATACAAATTAAGTGAAAAATTCATATTTACATTAACACTAGTACGGGTTAAAGGAGGTCTATCCGACTGATCGGTGATACTTCCTCAGTAATCTCACCCGTCAGGTTCCTGCTTCTCATTCTATCTTTCACGTTTTAAATAATTTTCGCCACCTTATTTGCTGCATATATTTGTCTCCCATCATATGTGTACTTTTTCATTTTTAAATATGAATTTGCGGAGCAAATTATTGCACATATAAGAAGCCGAAAGCATGCTCTTAGCTTATACCGAGCTTTCGGAAAGGCTTAGTTTCCACATTCAGATATTTTCAAACAACATCTGACAGAAACAATGCACAAACTTCCTTTTTTGACTTAATATGTTTTGCGTTGTTTGACTGAAACTTTTACGCTTTTGTCAATAATCAATGCCAATCTGCTTATTCTGTATAAAAGGTTATTCTAAATTTAAATTACGTTTCATTTCTTAATTCGTCTGGAAAATTCAAAACTCTGAAATGTGTGGTTTTCCTACAGACATGCAGTTTTGTACCTAAATTTTCAAAGGAAAAGGCTTGTCGAAATCCAAAAACCTTTGTTTCAATGGTTTTTTCATCAAATCGCTGCACAACCAATTTTTTTACGCTTTGTTTTATGGACCGATGAAACCTCTTTCACAAGAGACGGTATTTTTAATAGTAGGAATAGCCACATTTGGGGCAAAGAAAACCCCCATGCACATTGTGGTCTTACCATCTATGAAAACATGCTGGTTTCTAGACAAAATATTGTTGTTCTTGATACGTAGAAGAAGTTTATCCAATAAGGTATATTTAAACACTTCAGAAAGCACAATGTAGTTTACAATATCAAGCTCTTACCCTTGTCTTAGAATTGCTATAACCTTACCTAGCTTTGGCCTACTGTGCAATTCTCCTTAGTAAAATGCGAGGTGTGTAAAAATACTTGTACTTAGTAATTTTCGTTGAGATAAAATTTTCGTCGTTGGTACACAAACTGTATTCTTCGGCAAACTCATCCGGATCCGGAATAAATATAAGCTTCATTCCGTAAGTTTGCATTGAAGCACACGTTACAAGGCACTTCAACTGAATATCTTCCGGAAGTTTTGTATGCATTCGAAAGTTGATTAAGTTAATGTAACCGAAAAAGTTTTCGAACTGCACGGCGAAGCATTCAATTCTATTGCTTGACTTCATATATTTGAAGTAGGGAGATGTAAAGCAATTTTGTGCTTAGCAGTGGCCCACTTATTACCGGAATTACCTGAACCGTTTTAGACATATTTTTCTAAATTTTAAGGGCAAATCTGGTGTGTGAAATATGTCTAGTAAGTGCGTAGAAATACCGGAGTTGGAAGTGTATTAATATGCTGACATCTAACATTGCAATACACCCTCACGTCCTTCACCGATGTGTTACCTAAATTCAAAAATGACCAGAATCCTCTGGAATGTCGAAAAACGAAGTTGAGCGATTTTTAATTATTTAAGAGGTTCCATTTTTGGGTGAGAATAAATTTGACGTAGTAAAAAGTGGCGTTTTTTGTGTTTTTTATTAGCCTGATCAGGAGGCGCGATTTACTGCATGTGTGGCAAAACAACCCAACAGAGAACCAGGTTGACTGCCTAGCAACAGCAGGGCGTTTTTCGTCAGTCTGGATCCGGTGGCGGTTAATTTTCCGGGCACTTAAGCAAAAACAATCCCAAAGTCCGGTCCGGTCGAGCAACATCGTAGGCAGCTGTTACGAAACAGACTTGGCCCTCCATTAGGTCACTCCGGAACGGTATCATCCGTACGCCTGGTTCGTCTCAGTCAGCCCTTTTACTGCTCGCTTAGAAATAAAATATACGCGTGCTTCACTTAAAATAACGGTTACAAAAATCGACCAGCAGTCAGCAGTTTAGTAACTTTAAAGCTTTTCTATCAAAGGAGAGGTGGTTAAAACTAATGAGCAAGCTTTTCCAAAAAAACGTTAAACTACTCGCTTACCGTTTTTTTAAACTGCGTAAACTATTTTTGCAAGAACTCTCAGTATATCAATGACATAACGAAAAGGGTCAAAACCATATGACTTGAATTTCTGAGCGTTGCTATCGCATGCATTTTTAATATGAACTTAATAACATTAAGATATTTCCTGGTTGTTTGATATACGGTGCGCTGTCGCATATCAGCTTGTCGATCTTGGAAAGCTGTCGGCAGGCTGCCAAAATGCAAAAAAAAAAACCTATCCCGACAGCGCGGAGGATCAATCTCAAAACTAACGAACATTGAGGGGATGAAGATTATTTTTCAATGGCTATACATACAGGGTGGCGCATCGAAAACGAAACAGACGAATTTACTGGCAGCCCAGTTTTTTTTTTAAAAACGCTCAGACCCGTCGATTTTGTTTTCGATGGGGACACAAGTTTGACAAAAATCACGTTCTCACGTGCAGCCCCCTAGCCCCCTAAGCGGGGGTGACACCACCCACAAAATCTTAAATGAAAAGGGGTCTCGGATGATACCTTATTTTAAAGGTCTTTCAATTCTCTTTATAATCATATAAAATTAATATACTTCAGTTCAGTAGTTTTGAAGATTTATTGATTTAAAGCTTAAAGTAGACTTTAATAGGTACATCAGATTAGTTTGTACTACTTTCAGAAGAAATTTGACCAAGTATAAAAAAATCTGCCGACACCTTTTGAATAAATATAATTGGTCATACGAAAGAATAGTTAAATCAAGACTTCGTTAAGTGCCTATATAATTCACCTGTTGGCTCCAATGACCTTAGGAATTATCTGCATTATAGCAGTGAATTTCTTGTTACATGCCGGTAATTAACGAGATACAGGGTTTTCAAAATTACTTCGACTAGTACTCTACTGCACTTGTGTTAGGTATTCGGTGGATATTTACTTTCTCATCTTCAATTACAGTTAAAATATTGTATTTTTGTACATTGTCTTTATCAGTTATTTAATAAAGATCAAACCTTGGACAAGCTAATATGGTTAGTTGATAATAGAGTACCTGTTCCATTTGTTTGAAAGGCGTTTGATGCTTTTCTATCTCGTAAACTACGCATATAAGAACTTAACATATCTGTTGAGATTTACAACACAGTCAAACTTGTTTAGAGGTGTAGTAAATTTAGTACCATTTTTAGTGCCTATACACGTACCAAATGCTTCTAATTAACCCATGTCTGGCGTTTGTACGCTGTCATGTCGGCTGGACCGTGTAATATTCCAACCCTCTTCTCGAATAGGTTGTTTGGTGCCGCTCCAGGGGACGACGATGTCAAATTTCGCTGGACAATGGTCAACAACAGCTACAGCTTTGCTTCGACGACACCGGCCGGTAGAGGGCCTCTTCAGGAAATTGGACCCTTTCGTAAATACCTGCTCCCTCGCTTTGATTGGAATCTTGTTTGATTGTGTACCGATCCGTCCCCTCTCCATCCTTGGACCGTGTTCACCGGAGACGATTTTCGATTCGCACACTCTCTGTTTACCTCCTCCTCCTTCTGTTTATTAATTGATTTGCGTCTGTTTTGAGTGTTTGATTTTCGAAATTTACCAATCTCGAAATACAGTTACCGTTCGTCTCGTTTCACTAACCAACACCTATAGGGTGTACGTAAGAGAACTCTTTCATTTCAGGTGTCATGAAATCTAACGAAAAGATTTGTTGAAAAAGCACGTTTTTATGGCGGTTTTCCAATAAGTGTAGCAAACATAAACTCGTGTCGAATGAAACAAAACCGTAACTTTTCTCAAACTTTTTGAAGATTTGAAATTCGAGTCTGTTTAGTGGAGGTAGTCGTGTTGTGTTTTCAATTTTCAATTTGCTAGTCTGAATACGAATCTGTACCAAATTGTTAGAAAAGTAAATAAAGTATTATTTTGTAGATAAGGCATTTGTTTTGAGACGCTGGATAATTTTATAAGTACATTTAGCTTTGATAACTGTCTACATTATATGTACGATTAAAGTCTTTATTTGGATAGTTTATAGCCACATATAGTTACAGATACGGCTAGTTTATTGTAGACATCTTACATATGTACACCTATATTTTCCAACGACTTCAGTTTCAACCAGTCTAAACTAAAAATAAAAAAGCTTATTCTCGAAACATGCTGGTTATTGAAGAAAAACTGTGCTTTTGCCTCTTCTCGACAACCATTCGCAAAGGACCGAAAACAAAAACAAAACCTGAACAAAATACGAGTATAGCTAGCTTGACGGAAACAAGAGTTTTGGGGTTTGTTTCAGTTTTGTTTTAGTTTTTCAGGTTTCGGAATATACAAACACAATATAAACTCAAGCGTCCGTTCAGTCGAAAATAAGAACGTGTTGATGTTAAAATGTAATAAAACAAGCTGTGTATGAGTTATTAACGAAATTCTTTTTATTCGGTTTCAATGCTTTCAAATTCTTTGTTTTATTCCATATCGACATCGAATAATTCGCATTAAAAATGCCAGGTCAAACAACTGTTTCTCACAACTTCAATAAATGTCTTGTACCCTTCAAATATGTAATTAAATCCTCTTTTGTGAAGGATCACGGTACCCAATGGGTGTTTAGGCCTTAGGTCTTCGTGGTAGTGGGAGTATAAAAAAAACAACGTTTTGTTTTGAGATACCTAGGTATTTATCACATAAAATCTTGAGTGTGCATTTTTTAGAAGTTTGGATAGTCTTGGTCTTTTGTTACGCGTCGAAACATCAAAATTTAGTACAACTGTACCCTACTACATTTTGCGAGGAAGCGACGAAGTACCTAATGTTACGGGGCAATCACGGCTGGCCTATCTCTACATCATGTCCCTTGATTATAACTGCGAAAGTCAACTGTATTTCGCTAGTGCTCCAACAACGCAACGTTGGGTAATGATCCCATTTTCCAGGGTTCTCTTTGTTGTGTACGAGGAATCTGATAAACAAGCCACAAACGCGCGCAGCCACTTCTTTCTGCTTGTTCTAGATTAAATTATAACTTATCAGAGGGTGAATTAATTTGAGTTCGCTTTGTCTCCCTCTCTCTCTCTCCCTTTAGCTACGGTTGCTTATCGGATACACTACCGTGAATCCTAATGAAATTTGCTAACAGCCATAACGATGCCAACGGAGAATAGCTAGCTGGTTAACTGGGATCTGCAGACTCTGGATAGAATACACCAAATAGTGGATAGTTCGGGACATTTGTAGTCAGAAGCAACATCATTGGTGACGTGTATAAAATATAATATTTGAATCAATTTTTATCGAACTGTATCAACCCAGATTAGGTTTATAAAAAATGGGAATGGTATAAGAATTTTATTCTAAAAAGGCCTGGAAGAAAAGATCCAACTCATCCAGGACGTGACGTATTTCTCGAGATACTCCGGTTATGTTTCAAGCATCAATAACGGAGACCTAGGGGGCTGGTTATCAAGACAATTTGGAAAAAAGTATTTGAGATATTTATTAAATAGTATAAGGTGTCTAAGGCCCAATTTCACCAACAATAGTCCGTTATTCTCCACCTATAGGATAACAGACCGTCAGATACAGCGAATGAGCTTCAAGTTCCAATCAACAAATTTTAGCATCCATAAAGTTGAATATTTTTCGTTGTTCAGGAACTGAACAAACATCCACACTATATTCACAGCGATTAAGAAATTCCCAAATGTATGCCTTAAAGCTACCAGCAAACCTAAAACCTTCAAAGAAAACTAAAAATTTGCCATATTTTTCTTTTTTCACGAGTACACATTCTAGGTTATATTTATATTAGACATTATTTGAATACAGCTGATTATTGCATTTCAAGGAGTGACACATGTGTGGGATCTGTCAACTCTTGGTACCAGTCACAAAACATATACTCTGAAGGTTTAATTCCATGCTATTCAATGACAACACGGTGACTTTTGTGGTTGACAGCGGCCATTTTGTGAGGGTGCGACAGGGTTGCCAGATTGTGCATTAATATCTCGTTTCACCCTCCTGGTCCCAGTAGAATAAGTTCCGTCAACTGTTGCAATATACTCTACTATGCTTTATAAGACTATTCGTGACATTTTTCCCAAAATCATTGCACAACACGAAAAAATGCAAATGAAAATTTAAAATTATTTCCAGGACGCCGCAATATAGCTCCGTCGGTACCTGTGGGTTACACATCTTGACAGTAGGGATGTTCGATACGATCCTATATTTAGAAGTATCAATACATTTCACGAGTATCGTCATCTTTCGATCCGGACTGTGTCAGAAAGAGTGACTGCCATTTGGCTGCGATATTACCCTGCCATATCAACATTTTCAAAGAAATTGTACAAAATCTTCAAATTTGTGAAGTTAGCGAGTATCACTTCGTACGTTGTTACCAGACATGCCCAAATCATCAGTTGCTGCCGTGATATTCATCCCGACCACTGCATCCCCACGGCTAGGCGACCTGTACGTTAAATTTGTATTGATAGGGCAGCGGGTTTTGCTATAAATCAGATGATACCAAAAATATTTTCATAAATAGGAGATCTTTCCCATTCCGGATCGAACAATCTACCAAAGATGCTTATAATCATGATACCTAGTAAATTTTCACGAAAAAATTCAAAGCCAGCAAATGTAAAAGATTCATTTCGCACCCTCCACCACGGGACGTGATCGTCGTTAGACTTGGCAACCCTGCGAGTGACAGATAGATATCCCCGCCAGTCAAAAAAGAAAAATAGACAGAGAATCAACATTACTAGTTTTTTTGATTTTTGGACTTATATTTGTGAAACATTTTTCATAATTTTTGTCTATGTCCATAGTAATTGTATTATGCATCAGGGAGATATAGGGATTGACACATATTATCTGTGTTTTAGGATGGAGAGGACATAATGTTTTTATTGCTTTGAAGAAATTCATTAACCCATAAATTAATAAATGATTACTATTATGAGGTAAAGGAAGATGAGGAATTGGATGGAATGTATTTTATATTCTATTTTCTTGCAAAATACAGACAAATCTACACTATTCAACAGGTATGTAATGATAACTTTCAGTATATTGAAGTTGGTAAATTCGAGAGTGCCATGCATTAACAAACGTCCAAATCTGCTGCCAAATTTAACAGCTAGAAAATCGTATTATTTGCCGCATTCCCATTCGCTAAAGGGGATAACGGATTGTTAAATGTAAACCTATAACATTATATCAAAATACATGAAAGTTGTCCTGTTTTTTCTGTACAAAAGCATCATGTTGGAATCAAAAAGTGGTCTTGTTTATAATACAGTCGAATTTTCACGATTTTATTCAATATTTCAATAGAAATCACTAATATTCAGAGACCTTTGACAGCTTCTGTCAAATTGCATTTCGATAAGGTATTTTCCCATTGGTTCATAATATTAATGTTGGTGAAATCGGCCTTTAAAGTTATAAACTATAACGGCATTCAGACAAAAATCTACTGACTTTTGGACCATGGGTCATATGAACTTTTTGACTTGTTTTGACCCCCCCTATTGACCATTTCAATAACGACTACCATAACGTTTACACCCTGTATAATACTGAGTAGTCATAAAGCAATAGCTTGCTACACATATATGCAATATATTTCAACTCTCTGTTAAGGAGGATTACTCTGAAAATGGAATGACGGAATTCGGAGATATTTTTGGTACTAATCCTTCAGTCGCTTTTGTTACTAACAGTTCTGAATAGTTAAAAAAATATTTTGCGGGGTCATTGGCATGGTTGAGAGTTGGGCGAGAGAGAAAGAAAGAGTTCGAAATTAGGAAATTCCGAGTTCCGGCCGCGTCTTCTCGTTCTTCGTTGTTATCCTACCGCCGCTGAGGCATATAATAGCGATGATTACACCTTCTTTGTTCGTTTAAACTCGCCAGCCAGTCAGCGATACGGACAAAAAACAAACTTTCACAGAAAAAGAGGAGTTTCTGCAACGGACTCCTCCACTTCTTCTGTGGACAGAATCTCTAATGGGAGTTTAACAAAACAATCTTAGACGTCTGAATGCTAACTAAAAAATACGAGGGTCTTTATGTTCTTCTTAAGAGCGCATGACGGAAAAGTACTAGACATTTTTTCTTTAGTCGTTTTTATTGATCTACTAACCGTGAATGTATTCTTACATCATTTAGTGTCGCAATTTTTGTGGGCGTGCTGCAGTGAGATTCTTGAGACTTGAACTGGCTATACTAAAAAATAAAAAGAATTACTCGATTGCAGTACCTTTCATAAGGAAATACTTATTTTTCTACTAATCGTAGGTAGTTCAAAAATTGTATCAGCTAAATATCTATTCATAACAAGTGTTGGATCTTATTATTTAGCCTTCTGATAAGCTACCCCAGTATCACAAAAATTGTTATTGATTTTTCGACAATAATTTTATTGAATACTTGAATTCTCATTTTTGTTCTACTTTAATATGGACTGATGTTATATATACGTTATTTATACGTAATTTATAGATAAATCTAAAACAGGCCACATAACTAGTACTCGCACTCTACCTACTAAATCATCTCTGTTTGCGTCCAGCAGCGGTGAATATGTTGTGTGCGCTTGGCATATTCTTTTTCGACGACCCGAATTCCTCAAGCCTTGAGCTTCGAGCATGGCCATTCCAAGACCGTCTTACGTTTAAATTCTTTGGAATGTCTGGCAGAATGGACGCGCGGTCGCGTGCCTCAGCAATTTTATTTTGTTGCGGTTTTGGAGCAAACGATGTTTCATCAGGAGCGGAGTTTCTCCCCCTTTTCAATTATAAGGTAGTAGATAGCCTTGTAATCTGAGCACACCAGGTTGATGAGCTTTTTCAATTAAAATTGATATTATATAGGCATTTTCAATATTTACTAATGGGTTTCACGCGCTTAATCAAAATTCAGTAGGTCGCTATACCGGATGTTTCAAATTTGACCATTGGATCTTGGAAACGGTAAGAAATACCAAGTCGCTTAAGTGGGGGCAGTTGTGTATTTATAAAAAAAAGGTATTATGTAGATTACGCATACAAAGTCTTGCTTCATTGAAGTATTTATGAAATTATTAGTTTCATGATACTCATGTGTAAAAAGGCAT